TTCCCGTTGGCCGTTTCCCGTTGGCCGTTGGCCGTTTCCCGTTGGCCGTTGGCCGTTGGCCGTTTCCCGTTGGCCGTTTCCCGTTGGCCGCCCGTTTCGCGATGGACATTGGGCGATGGGCATTGCGCGATGGACATTGGACGGCGGACAGTGGGCGACTGGGCGATGGACATTGGGCGATGGGCGATGGGCGAACTCCCAGAAGCTTGTGAAGGTTTGGAAATTACAAAAAAAGTTTCGACGTGGGCGGTTTTCTTTCCCGTCGCAAAATTTTAACTTGCGCAGCTCAGCAATAGGAGTTATAGATACGTCTCTTCGACATTAATTGCCTGGTGTAGAAGACAAAATCACCGCTTCAATCAGATGAGGCTTATCGGGGGAAAGCTCGTTCCGAACGAAGAGGAACAAAGCGCGTCCGTGCCAGTCGAGTACCGACTATGGAGAAGGAAACACCATCCCGACTGCTATTTACTTGCACGCCGAGCTGCTTTGCCTTTTGTACACAAGAGAGCAATAAAGGCAATGAGTACTACGTATGCACTTTGTTTGATTTCTGCCAAGACTATACTGAATAGAGCGGTGTCTTCTAAACTAAAGAGTCCTTGCCGCATGGGCCAGACGAAAAAATAGTGAGCGGATTGGTTTTTTTCTTGCATACGGCCGGCCAGCGGGCTTCGAGGCGAAGGAGTCCAAGCTGCGAAAACACCGTGATGCCGCCACGGTCGCGGTTTTGTCGTCGCGAGAGCGAGTGTATCCACGAAAAATAAAAAATGTGCGTCAGTGTGGTAGAATGATTTTGTACTGGGTGAGCAACACACTTTCTCTCATACTGGCTTGTGTCAGGAACAAGAGTTCAGTCTGTCGTGGAGAAGAAGATGCATATCATGGTGCTTTTAGTCCAAGAAGAGAGCTTGAGTACTGCACGACGTTGCACGCTTTTTCCTTGCATAAGGTGCTTCCGGATGCGGCCTTCAACTTGGAGCATGGGTTTGAGGTGCCGATCTCGCTGCCGCGAATGCAGGACGGGGGCGCACGGAATGTTGATCCCCGGGAATACAACTACCCGGAGCCGGTGGACCCCACCCGCAGAGCGTTCCCAATGACGTTTGGGGGCCCGGTCGCGCAACAGGTTTTTAACACGCGCGCGGGCAACGCGGGGCACTCACCCCTGCGCGCGGCAAAGAGCGCGAACTCAGCGGTCGCACGGGTCAAAGAGGAGGACAACCTCACCGCCGGAAACCACCCAAAGCCCTTTTACTCTCCCCCTCCCAAGGACCAAGTCGGTCAAGAACAGCTTCTGGGAGAGACAGCAGACTCGCAGGCCCGATACGTGTACGCAAGGATGACTCCGGCGCAGCTGAAGTGCCGCCGGATCGCGCACAAGAAGTACCACCCGCGGGCGCAAACGCACTGGTGAGAAGTGTGTGAGGTAAAGCACGGCGGCGACGAGTTCAGCTATCCGATAATGAAGTACTTGTACAGAAACAAAAATGATTTATTACCCCCCTTCTCAGCTCCGAAAATCAATTGCACAATTTGTTGCTGCAGCGATGATGGTAACGGCTTCCAAAGATTATTTCGATTGTGTGTCGATAAGTAAATTGTGCGGAGCTGTTTAATAGAACTCTCTCGAAGATCAAGATTTTGCTTTCAACTTTATTGTAGGATTGATCATCTTCTTCTACCCTTTCCAAATGAAAACGGAGTGCAAATTTCGACGATAGGAATTCAAAGTCGTCGTGATAGTGGCCTATGTAGATGCAGGGATACTGCGATGCTGTTGCTTTGACAAGATTCAAGATCCAGGCTGTTCTTGAGTCGAAGGCTGCGCGCTTGTTCGAACTTGTCGCAGGAGCGAACTGTTCTGCGAACCCTCCATTTGCATTTTTAGTCTGCAACCATTGATGGCTCCGCGTAATAAATGAAAGATCAGTCGTGTATCCAGTTCGATTTGATTCTGAAGCGGATCAGCAGCGCAATCTGAGTCAGTGCCGCGTTTTCACTTTTTCAACGATCCGCGATTCGTTTTCCTGAAGTTTTTCAGCTACTCTCAAGAATCAGAATGTTAATTTCCTTTCGCTGATTTTGTTGACTTCCAACTTCAGGCCAACACATTTTCATTTTCTGTAGAGGTAGAGACTCAGCATTTATTTCTTCTTTTGTTGTTTTATATATGGATACGGAAGTAGTAGAGCCAGTTCGACATGCATAGAAGGGCGCCGCGTCGAGAGTAACTAAGGATTGTCTCACGACGGCTGCTAGCAGGCGCATCCTCTCGGAAAACGATTTTTTTGCTATTGCTCCCTCCGAATCAACCGGATGCCGTTACGATTACGGTACTAGCTGTTCGTAAAAAGTCTATTTTATAAAGCAGTAAAACTAAAAGTTGAATCTAGTCAAAATGATGGGTTACAATCGGGCCGGCGAAGTGGACATGGGTTCGGGATTCCTCGGCAGTGGCGGTCTGGACGACATGGAATCGGCCGAGGTGGAGGCAGTTCGGGCGGCTTGTGACGCCCTTCCCATCGAGACGGGCAGTAAATTGAAGGTAAGTTCTTGTTTGCACTCCTTGTTCTACATTTGTGTGCACACGGCTGCAATGTCTTTTCTGGTTTTATTTTCTTCTGCGCATCAGATACAGATTCCCTCTACGCAGCCGAGAAATTGAAATTATGAAGGAAGCCAAAACAAAAACACAGGCGATGTTTTCCAGCAACGGGTTGACCATGGCTGATTTGGATGTAAAATCTGTGATGGAACTGGCACGGTTGCATATCACATTGCAAGCAAAAGTTCTACAGCACATGGAGAACGAGAGGGTAACTAACTGCATTTTTTTAACAAATAATGACGCACCACTTCATTGTGTTGTCCGCATGACTTATTTTCGAAACAATTTACCATAGTACTGTACTTCTTCTACTACTTATATGTGCATAGCGGTCTTGCTGCGCGACCGCCTACACTACAGCCAGTGAACACGTGACGGTCGGCGCACACGGTTTTGCGAGCGCAGGTAGAAGGTCAACATGGGACGTTACATAAAAACCGGTTTTTGACGGACAGCAACACAAACTAACAGGTATTTTTGTGCAATTCGCGGTCAAAGTCCCGATTTCTAATCTCTACCTGCGAACGGGCCAAGCAAGGCGCTCTGGACGTGCGCGGCTTTGGAGCAATAGATCCGTGGAAAAGTCACTTGAACAACATAGCAGTCTGTAACACGAAGGACGTCGATCTTGTGGAAGAGGAGGAATACCTGGTGAAACTTGACAAGGAGCTAAACTGCGGACTGAACGCAATCGTTTCGCTCGAGGTCCACGTGTCGAAAGCAGTTTGTCCCATGCTAGCAGAAATCAGTACGTCTTACTTATTTGAGCCTAGTGATCCCACCTGCTTTTTGTTCGTGTCTATGTGATGTTGTAGGAAAACAAAATGTATGACCTTGCCGTTCGGTATAGTGCCGTGGGAAGTAGCTCAGCGCATAAACGCATATAGTGCTTATTTTTCCAGCATTCGTATTTTCGTACGAACCTATATCAAAATCAATCTTACAACCAGGTCCGGTAGAGCTAACTTTCACGATGGCAAGTACTCTGGACGAGTTGAAGGAGAAGTTCCTCGCCATGGGCTGCACGGTGAAGCTAAACCACATGAAGCTCCGGCTCGCCACCGATAACCACGTGAACGCGAATTTGCAGCCCGCGAACTGGAATTACCTCGGCTTTCTGCGGGGGGACCGGACCTTCGCGTACTACAATTTTCCTGCCGCCGGTTCCACGAAATCAGCGGGCGTGAAGCTGTCCCTTCTGACGCGCGCACGTGGCGGGGTGCGACTCCGGAAGGATCTGTCGCGTTCGAATCGGCAGCCAGACACCCGCCCCAGTTTACTGGAGCAGACCGCCGTCATGACGGCGATGCTCCAGAACAACCCGACCGGGCACGGTGCCCCGGAAGGTGCTATTATCCGAGATCCTAACGCGGTGGTGCATAACAGCATCGGCACCGCGGCGCCTGGACTTCCGCAGGCAGGGGCCCTCGGGCCGATGATGGTGGCGGGGATGCAGCGAATGATGACGCAGTGGCAAACCTATCTGGCAAACACAGCCGCAGCCAAGCAGGAGAAACTGGAGATAGCCGAACGGGTAGAGGCAAACAAAAAAGCAGCGGCGGATGCAGAGGCGGCAGCAGAGGCCGCGCAAGGCACCGGTGCTGCGGCACCAGACCCTCTCGCCCGGAACCAGCCTGCGCCCCCGGCCCCGCCCGCGGAATAAAAATTGCGGTGAAGATACAATAACCCAAGAAGGACGTCGCCACATGGCTTGAGTAAGTATTGCACGACTTATGGTGCATGAAACGTGAATTTCGCACTACCCTCTCTCTGATGTACCCCGACGACAACATACGAGTATTGTGCCGCAGAATGATGTTGCGTGCAACCTCGTGATCCAACAAGCGGCTGCGCGGGTCTTTCTGTGAAAAACGAAACGTCGCGATCAGCCTACCGCCAGTTTTTTCGGTGCATGTTGTTCAACAACGGAAGACAAGCCTCACACTTAATCGACAGTACGTTTGTTGATCCGCTTCGTTCTCACTCTACTCGGGTTTTCGTATTTGAGATCAAATCATTCGCAATGGATCGCTTCTTGTAGCGAAGGATGGAAGTCGCGTTCGTCAGCTAAGAGCTTTTTCTTTGTGATCGAAAACCTCTCGTTACACGAATCAGCGCGAAGATGATTGCTCTCGGTCGTACTACGCGAGAGGGCATATCAGCTAAGAAAGTACAGCCTTGCAACACATCTCATCCATCGCTCGCATAGTGCATACAAGGCTTTTTTTTGGTCGTCAGTCGTCACTTCCAGAGTGTTTGCTACGGAATCCGTCGTCGAGAATTGTTACTCGTTAGGAACCACGGACCAACTGCTCCGACCCTGTCCTTGTTGACACGTCAGTCAAGGTTAGTTTGCGGTGCACAGATGTCGTCTCCGTCGACTGCGTGGTGTTTCAACTCGCAATCGGTTATTTATCTACACAACGAGAGGCTTCGCTACAGATCGCATATTTCGAAGGTACAATGCAGAGATTGGATGCAGAGAGCACGGAAATCATTTATGCTTCCTGGCTTCTGATCAACGAACAGAAAGAGCCAGAGCGACTGCATTTTGCCTAGTGGCTCGCGCAAGTGATGGACTTTTTTTGAATGAAGAGATGGAAGTATCCGGCTAGCAGCTGCTTATTCCCGTAGCGCAGGCGATCTAAGTGCAAGATGTCGTGGCGCGTGCGGACCGATGAGCCCAAATACCCGAAGGGCTTTATCACACAGAAGAAGACTCGTAGCAAATCACATTTGTAATGCGGAAATATATACGCAGAGACACTACATCGTCGGTGAGCTGGCCAAGTACAATTAGGCAAGAGAGGGTCTGGTGTATATTTGTTTTTGCAATACAAGTATGTTTGTATTCTGTGCTATTTTTTTTCTGTGGCATAGGGTTTCCGGAGTCCATGGACCGCGACGGCGGACTATACAATGCGTGGTGGCAGCGCGGGGGGAATCAGATCGCGGAATTTGTAATCAAATAAACACACTTGTTGTTAGAACCTAGCCATACGATTTGATGATGCTTTTCATGCAAGGCGGCCTGCAGGCTCGCGCACACATTTGAGCTCGATCTATTAAGTTCTCATCCAGCTGAAGATGGTTCGTGCGCGGCCAAAGTAAACCACAGCAGAATTTTCATTCGTCACAGAAGACACATGAAGCGTCGCTGTGGAAGAGTGAGGAAATTGTGCATTCATGTCTTTTAGTTCTTCACGGGCTTGCAATCGGGCCACAACCTTTGTGGACCCGGCGGTTTATTGTTGAATCAAAACGCTTTTACAGATCGAGAAGGAGCACATGTACCGCGCGAAGTTTTCCGCCCCTCCAGAGTGGATAGAAACGAAGCCCTTCAAGGACGTGGACAAAAAGTTTGCGAAGCTCCAGCTCTTAAAAAATACGGACTTCCGGAAGAAGATAGGTCGTCGCAAGATGTTGTCCACGGAAAAGCGCGAAGCGGGCGGGTGCAGCGTGCTAAGCGACGGGAGCGACGATTCCCCAAGCCGGGTCCGAACCTCCGCTGCAGGACAGGCGGTGCCCAGTGCGGTGCTGGGTTCGGGCGGCAGCAGTTCCGTATCCGAGCTCATGAAACTCGAGGAAGGCGCGACCGTGTCGCCCGAAGAGTTGGCTCGCCGAAAGAGCACACGGGAAGCAGCCAACGATCGGCGGTTCTACAAGGAACGGGGCAGCAAAGGTGTCAAGTATCTTGCGTTGTATTTCGCGAGGATCTCTTCGAATAGGGATCTTCGAATGCTGCTTTTATACAAGATTTTTAGCAGCCGATATTGATCTTGACTTTCCCTTCGTAGAGAGTATACGAATCTCAGCCACAGTTGTTGGCGTTGTGGTACCTCTTCAAGAGGATGAAGTAGATCTGCAGACGTTTTATTGAGCATTCTTTATGATTTGATGTCGCGTTGGGATGGTGATGGAGGCTAGGAAGTTGTTCATCTAAGCTGTGCATACTCAAAAGGAAATCAAGATGCCTATCGATACTACTGTCCAAGGAATCGTAACTGGATAAAATTGGAATTGCGCAGGCACCTACAAGTTCGGACAGGAGCCAACGGCAGAGGATCTGAAATACCTGAATCGAACGCAAGACGAGCGCACCGCTGCAGGAAAGTCGGGAACCTACAGGTGAATAAAGATGAGGTCTGCGTTGGTAGAAGCGCGGCAACTAATTTGCGTTACAAACCATGCAAACGGAACTGCGCTTGTGCGACGTGGCATGGTTCGTTATTTCTGGTCTTATTAAATTTCCAAGATACCACTTTTCGTTTTCCTCGACTCGTGGTAACATATCACTAGTGATATTTTTCTTACTTACATATAAGGTTCGACGATAAGTGCACGGAGGACTACTCGCAGAAATGGGCGGAGAAGCCAGCAAATGCCCTTGCGGACCGAGTGCCTCCGGAATCCGCCGCCGCGTTTGCGGAACTGACAAGGAACAATCAGAATGACCCCAAGCTGCTGAACGAGGAGAGGCGCGTGCTCGGAAAGAAGACCGAACACAAAATTCGGGAACAGGACGAGGAGCGGAGGCGAAACAACACGAACAGCCGCGGAAGTAGTACCCAATCCACCCGGAAGCTACCCAGCGCCCAGGGCATTACGGTCGACGTGGCCCAGGAGCTGTGGTACCTTGACCCGCTCCCCGAGGCAGCGTTCGAAAGAAGCACGAGCTCCACGGCCCCGAACGCGCATAGGAACGCGAAAAAAAAGAAGAAGAGTGACAGCACCCAACTGCTTCCCGGGGCGTTAGATGCGGAGGCCTGGGTGAAACCGGATCTCGACCCGGAGCGTGCGAGCGCAACTACGACGAGTACCAGTTTTGTCTTTTGCTTGTTAAAGTCGTGTGAGGAGTAACGCTGCACTTCCTATTTTCTAGAACATTACGTACAACAGCAGCGTTGCAGCAGTGTTAATGGCCATGCATGTTCCATGATGGAGAAAGCATGCGCTCATGATCAATCACTGGCAAAATCAAACAGACTTGCGGGGCTCAGCGAAATACACGCAGCATATCAAAGTACCGAAGCACTTGAGGCGAGAAATGATGGGAATGAAAAAGGGCGGCCCGCTCTTACCCTACAAGGCTCTCCAGCGGCTCACGACGTACAGCGACCTGGACTATTCGCTGCTGCGAACGGTACTTTTCGTTTTCCTTGTTCTTTCGACGGTGTGTGTAGAATCCAAGACCAGTGGGTGGTGCGGAGATGAATTTGTAGTTTGCACTGTTTTCAAGAGCGAGGAAAGAATTCCTTGAAGCAACTGAAAAGGAAAGGGCGCTGCGTCCGCAGGACTTGGCCATCAAAGTTGCTTCTGCATATTTCTCGGCTGACTCACTCTTACTTTTGTTTCTAACCAAACAGGACCTGCAAGAAGAGGTGAAGAAGACGGGGGAAATTAAGCAATATTTCGATCGACATCCATATTTTCGGAAAGGGCAGAGGTCGAGATTCTACAACAATAGTAACCGCGTCGCAGAGCTCGTGCACGCAGGTAGCCTATTCTTTCAGTGTTTTCAGTAAGAAAAGACCCGCAGATTTTCATCATCTGAATAGTTTCTCTTCTCGGAGAGAGTTGGTTTCCTCTAGGGCATCAAGAGAAACTGGCGAGGAACGAAAAACTTTCGGAGAAAAACAATAAATAACTTGCAGGGGCGGCAGAGAACTTCCCAGGGTGGGATTCAGACGCAAAACAGTATCCGGGGTATCCGTTCTATAATGAGGAGGACGGGCGGGAGAGGGACCCGTTGCGCAAGCACGTAGGCGAGGACACGTTTGCAGCATGGGACAAACCCCTGATCAGCGAACCGAAGGAGCGCCAGTTCTCGAAGCCCACGGAAAAGATGCGGATGCTCGAAAAGCAGTTGCTAGCGCAGTCCCAGTATCCTGTGCAAAAGCACTGTCGCAGCCGTACAACATACTGCATCAATATTGTGTGACAAATGTTGATTTACGGTCACTCTCTCGACCATTGATTGCTGTTTTCTTGAAAAATGAAGAGTTAGTATTGTGCAATCGATCCGACGACCAGGCAGAACTACTCGTGCGACGATGCTTTTGCCTTGCATACCAAGCCCATATCGGACGCGTTCCCACCGGACCATGACAGCGATCCGGATGAGCCTTAAAAACGGCACCGGGGATGAAGCAGACTGCACAGGAATGTGAATTTTCCAGCTCCAACATCGGACGGGAGACGCATCATTGTGTTGTATGATAATATCTTGCGCATGCGCCCCCCGGTTCTCGAGGAGGCAAGATCTGCGGAGCAAAAAATGCAAAATGCCTTCTGTGATTGATGTTTAGCCTCATGCGTGAGCTTTGTTCTGCTTCTGCGGGGAGCTGGGCGCGGACGCGCGAGCTCTACTACTTATTCAATCCAATTTATACATAAGAGTCTGAAATATAGCGTTCCAACCAATGACGAACTCGTGAAGAATCCAATCAAAAGCAAAAAAGAGCGCGACGCTGTGAATGTTACCTTTGCCATTTAGGTCGAGTTTTCGCTCGATCAAGAGTTAAGCTAATGAAGAGCGACGGGATGAAGTGCCAACAAGTTGTCACTCCTCCTTTGGCAATGTGCTTAGCAGCTCGTTGTTGTACAATATGACCAAGATGACACTGTATTTTGACGGCGAACTACTGAACACTCACACTGTATTTTGACTTTGTACTATCCACCGACAGACTTCTCGGAAAATGAATGCGGAAGGGCCTGAATAAAGGTGCTTTCGCGTGACTGACTCCGTCACAGGACGGATGCATGATTGTTTGCAAGCTGTAAGCGTGACTTGTGTACATGGGATGTTGCGTTTCTCAAGCACTGAACTAGCCCCTCTTTCCGGGGAATTCGCCCGGGTTTTATTCGCTGATGGAGATTGATTGGCGCGGGTAACTGCCGCGTGTTGCTTAATAAAATGTTTGACAAGCGGATGCGGACTTGGTCATGGGCGGAGTTTGTAAATCTTCAAGGACGCCACATTGAACAAGCAGTCACCAAGAACTTTTTTTGGGGTTGTTTTTTCTTGATGTGATAAATGATATTTGTGACCAACCACCTGAGGAGAAAGCTATAAAAGAAGACGGGCCTCACTTTTTACTTTGCACAAATTTCCGGGAACAACAAATAATGACCGAGTTAGGCGTTTTGCGTGCAAAACAAGCTCGTGATGCTTGCTTGCACTGCCTGCAGGGCGGTACTGTGACAGTATCCTGCACCTTGCCCTGCAGCTCGCGAGCGAGACTTCCAATACGACGAGCGCATCCCAGTTGTAGCTCCAGCAGTGTTGCGAGAAAGTTTTGCAGCGGCAGGCCTGCAGCCGCGGTGCAGCCGGACGGCAGTGGCGAAACCCTTTTGTCCCTTGAGGCCCGTGGCGACGAGTCTATTGTGTACCCTGTTGCGCTGAAGACATGGGAGTCAAAGCAGCACTTCGCCCGCAATCTGCTCGCGCGACTGTCCGGCATCAGCGAGAGGGACATCCGCCCGTTGTTTGCGAAGGAACAGCTGCGCGCCATCTATGAAAAGGCGGAGTTGGCGGATCGGCGGTTTTTTGAAAGGAAGCACGTATTATATTTGGCAAAATTTGCGGAGAAACTACTGGACGAGCGAAAGAGCAACAATGCCCTCAGCATAAACAACGCAACCATTCCCCTGCCCGAACTGCACAGCATTCTAGGTGAGGAGCTGCGACGCGCAAAGGAAAGCGATGGCTGCACGCTTGGTGCTTCAGCGGACGGAGAAGAGACCAAGGCTCATGGTCAAGAAGCGCCGGATGGTGCGCGGCCTGCTGGAAAGACCGACTCATCGCGTGCAGTGGCCACGCCCGTTCCGTTTCTCGTGAAGAAAGATCGCAACCTGCGCGTGGTTCGTATTGTGCGTAAAAACGTCCCCTCCTCAGAGTCAAGATGGACACTGAGCAACCTAAATCCAGAAGTTTTGGGAGTCACGCATGAAAAGTTGCTGTCTGGAGTGTAGGGCAGGTCAGCGAGGGCAGTCGCATCACAGACCCATCTGCTCCTCCTGTTTGCAGCATTTCAGAAATTGAAAATAAACACGACTAGAAAAAATGCGTCTCATGATGAGGATGCGCATTGCGAATGTTCCACGATCCTGTAGATGCAAAAACCATGCGACTACAATTCTGGGATTGGGACGTTTCTCCGCCGGATAGTTCGCAAGCTCGCATTTGCCATGGAAGAGCAGCGGATGCGTCGGTCGGACGTGCGTAACAATGTTGACGGCTGTACTAGTAATCAAGATCATGCGAACGTGGGAGGACCCACCTCCTCGGAGGATGAATTACGGAAACGGCTACTTGCGTCCTGCCGAACGATTATTCAGGAGGGTTTGCGGAGTTTCGACGAGGCAATATATTACAAGTGGAGTCGTCCGAAATTTTCGCCGACTGAGGCTGATCTGCCCGTGGGTGAGGATCTTCACTCCACTGGATCATACAATTCTGTGGATGATGAAGAGGATGCTAGAGTGCCTAAAGCTGATGATGCGGCAAGTAGCGGTGGCGGGCCGGTGCTGGTGGAAATAGAGGCATCTTCTTCCCAGGGAGAGGTCGACCTACAGATGAAGGAACTACGTGAGCCGCCCCCAGGCGACGTCGACGAAGCGTACTTCCAAACGAAAGAGGCGGGAGCGCGATCACTTCGAGTGCCGCCGGACCAGGTAACACGGCAGGAGGAATTTGCTATGCGAAAAATCTTCGACGCTGAGCTGAAGGAGTTTTTTCGGGCACGCAGGACGCAGGAGCAGGAGGAAGACGCAGGCCAGAGGACGAGTACAACAGCGGAGCTTAGTCAGGAGGAGTGGCTGAGCTCAACGTGGCCACCGCGTCGGTTGCGGGAACTCGTGGCTCCGATCTCCAGCGCGGTGGCTTTTAGTTTGGAGAATTTCGCTTCTTCTGAGGAAGCAGCAGACCATATTAACCATATGAGTAATGCGGCTGCAGGAGTTGTACCAGGGAGGGGTAGTCGTGCTTCGTCGTGTAGTAGCGAAGATGCCGACGTGGTCCAGAGAAGAAATCAGTCCGGACAACAAGAACGGCCGTGGTCTACAAGGTCGGGTGGCCGGCCGCACAGGCGGCCAGGACCAGTGATGGTGCCGGAGAACATCAACCCGGACTGGGAAGAAGAAGCCCGGCGTGTCGCGAAAGAGCAAATCAAGGAGCAAGAAGCGCGGTTGCTTGTCATGTGCCAGAAGAAGCATCTGCGGATGCGGCTGCGCGACGAAGTTCGGCGGCGCCGGGGCGGGGACGATCCGCCGAGTTCGGAAGCGATTCACATGGCACTCATGGAGATTTTCGTGGAGACCGGGACGGGAGCAACAGTGACCGCGGTCACGGATGAGGCCTTGTACGCGAAGCTGCAATCAGCGGAGGCGGAGCTGCGCAAGCGCCGCGCACTCGAGCAGGTCCGGAAGAACCTACGGGTGTGCGTATCTCGCCGCTACGGTGCCGTTTTGGATTTTTCCCAACTTTTGCAGGTGTGGTCGCGAGACATGCAGCAACAGCTCTTGATCGAAGCAACCCTGCAACTTCACCAACCTGGGAATGCGGTATACAAGTGAAAATACAAATACTTAGATCCATTATTTAGGGCGGAAAAATCGGCAAATATCATCATTTTTGCAAGCGCACTTGTTTGGGGGGTAAAAAAAGGTTTTTTGTCGGGGGCGGAACATCTTGGAAGCCGACACGCCTCGCGTGTCACTTCATCTTTTCCACAGGAAACATGATAGCTGAGCTTCGGAGATGCCGCAACACCAAGACCAGAAGCAGGCCACAGTGCCTTCGCTCTGTGCGTTGTCGCTCAGATGGCCGGACGCTGTGTCGTGGGCCCGCTCTTCGAACAGTGGCCGGGCCGCCTCCCTGACCGGGGCTCGACGAGGCCCTTCGCCCGGAGAAGGAGGCCCGGCCAGGGGAGGTGGTCAGGGGGGTGCATTTTTGCCCCTCCCGGACACCCCTTCCGGGCACCCCCTTCAGGCAGCTTTGGGGTAGCCTATGCCGACCCCCTCATCCCCATTGGAAACTGCCGATTTTGCGTGCCCAAAAAAGGTAGCCCAGAGGCAGCCCAAGCCGACCCCCCTACTCCCCCCCCTTCGGCACCCCCCCGGAAGCACTCGACTGCTGGCGCGTCCGCCTTCTCCATATCCGGTCGGAGAGGGAGGATGAGAAGATATGTGGGCGCGTCCGGAATTGAATGCAGGACATTGGGTGCGGCATCCCGCGCCAGAGGGCCGCAGGCGGGTGGAGCTTCAACAAAGTCCGGCGGTTTTATTGGAAAAAGGGGAGGGCCGGATGGCGGACCGTAACACCGAAGTGCGGCGCCAACATCTAAATGGCCAACAGGAAAAAAAGCAGTACCTACACCCCCAACAGCCAGAATCTTTTTACCCCCCCAAAAAGTGCGCTTGCAAAAATGATGATATTTGCCGATTTTTCCGCCCTAAATTATTTAGAAGATTTAGATTACTGCATGTGGGAAAATGTAGTGGCATAAATATGGCTACGTAGTTTTTCGAGAAGAAACCTGCTGCTTCATGCCGAAGAACCTTATGCTGTGCCAAGAAAAATCTCTTTTCCAGGGTAAGGATCTTGTTGCCCTGTTGCGATACCAGATCGATAATTCGCTGCGACTGCCAGAAGTTGCGGAAAAGCTGAGATTGCTCGTGCACTCGAGCCTGAAAAATCAGATGGCTGCGGAGGCGTCCAAAATCGGATTGGCCTTTGATTCGGCGGAATGGGACGAACAGGTAAAAAAGCGAATTGATTTTTAAAGAAAGGCTCGCGCTTTCTATGCAAAGTAAACACCTGTCCGCCTCGGCTTTGTACTCATCACTTTTGTGAAGTAGCTTTCCGTGCGTTCCCCTAAAAGTTTTAACATACGAGTAAATTCAACACAGAAGCTCGACCGTGTTGCAAACGTAATGGCGAGTGCGTACCGAAAAACGAAAGTCTTTGACCAGGCTCTTGCGAAGAACATGATACGGAGTCAGCTCGTTACGCGATCGGACGACAAGACTACGACTGCTCCTGCGGGGCACCGGTCAGCAAATCTAAGTCTCGGCGGAAGAGAAGATAAGGAGTCGCTGATCAACGACAAACCAGGGCCCCAACGTCATGCACTGTCGTCAGAAGAAGATTTTCATGCAAGGATTCGGCAAAAAATGAAGCACAGTATCGCTTCTGATGACGTGTATTGAGCCGTGTTGTAGTTGTCTGTTTTGAGACCGTACCTTGGGTTATGAAATGACCTTTAATCATGAGGGTCTTCTCAAGGACTGGGTTTCGGCTTGATAGCGGGCCATCTGAATGTGTAAAAGCGCATTAATTTGACGCAATGAACACTCCGTCAGTAGCTGTGGTGTGCGCAAGCAAGTGAAAAAGTTCCGCCGGTCCATGGAGAAGACAGTGTAATCTCATTGAAATGAAAATCGAGGAAGTCAGCGATCACTCGTTACCGTCGAATCTCCTCGGTAAGATCAAAAATTATTCTTGAAAGGCGACGCATACTGAAAATGATCCTTGACGACCCGTTGAAGAGCTTGGTCAACAATGCGATGCCGAGAAGAAAAAAAAATCGCAGCATAGGACTCTTCACGATTATCTCTTTCGGTTCATGGGTTGCTCGTTGCGATGAATTTGGAAAACAGCGACCTTGCTATGAAGCTTGTCTATCTCTACCTGAACCTATGAGAACAGATGAAAGTCTCGTTGTCCCATTCCACTTGAGTACTCACATTTTATTTTTCACACTGTGTGTCGTGTACTGTAGGTACCTACTAGCAGTGCATCTAGCTCGTGTAGTATGCCCGGATAGTTGTAGAGCTAGAGCAAGCGGATCTGCTTGTGCTTTTGTTGCCACGAAAATGACCACCTCGCCTTTAACGCGGAAAGCGGCTGTCCGGGCGATTCCCGGCAAGGGTATGGGTGTGGTGGCGCTAGATTGGATTAGCGCCGGCGAAATCGTTTTAGCAAGAGAAACGCCTCTTCTGCACATACGAGTTCCGGACGATGACACTAGCGACGAGGAGAGCAGCAGCACAGCCTCTTCGTCTGATGCCGAGACGGATGCAGGGGGTGAAGATGAATGCGAGCGACATCGTGGTCCTCAACGCTCGAGGCGAATTTCGTACCGCAGGACTAGGACTAGTACTACACACCATGATCACCCTGACAACGACGTTAGCTCCTCCACGGCGCCAACGAGCGACAAGAAGCGACGAGGACCGTTTGCCAAGCCCGGCGACCTTGTTCGCACTCGCGAGGCGGTCGAGCGGGCCTACCGGGACCAGATTTTGAACGTACAGCAAATAGAACCCCATCTTCCAGATCACGCCGAGGGGGCGGTTTCGTCTTTCGAAGCGCGAGCAGGTCCACGGGTTGTTGGAAAGCTGGACAAGTTGCTTGCGCTCTCTTCCTCTTGTTCGTCATCTGACGACTGTTCCGCAACCGGGGAGCGGCGTGTACTAGTCGCGCCTCAGACCGATGAAGAGACGAGTCTCGAGCGGTTGTCCTCCTCCGCAGCTGCTGCCGCCGCCGCAGAAGTGGTCGTGCAGAGGCTTGTCGAAATTGTCCAAAGCAACGGGTTCGCGGGGGTGGGAAGTGGCGCTTTTGGGTCTAGTGCGGGCTGTAGTGGTCCTAGCACAGGTTCACGGAAGATGCAAGAGAAACTGGTGTTTGAGTATCGGAGCCGGTTCAATCACAGCTGTGTTGCGAACGCCTTTCCTTGTCAGAGAGAGCCCTTTGGGAGACCCGAGGCATCAACATGGGAAGATGAAACCGTTGTAGATCCAACTCTTATCCGGGCAGCTCGGGACGTGGCACCAGGGGAGGAAATTACACTGCCGTACATCTGGGCGGAGCTGTATCCTTTGCAAAAAAGGCAAGCACTGCTGAAGCAACAGTGGGGCTTCGATTGTGAGTGCGCGTTGTGCGGGCGGCAACGCCAGGAACAGAGAGATCATAGTGCCATGGCAGTGGAAGGGGTGGTAGAGGTGGACAGGGCTGCGCAAAGAGGCTTGAACATTGCCGCATCGGCTTCCATCCTGGAAGCGAGGACCCTGGCAGTACGCAACAACTCCGATGATCGGACGCCGATACAACAGCTGCTCTGGAATCTATGCGCGGGCCCGCTGAGCAAACATGGCCAGTACGAGCTTCTTTGTGCGTTGGCCCGCGAAATCGAAAGCCTTCCGGTCTTTTCTGAGTTTGCGGACCAGGAAGGCAGTGGTGGAACAATGCGAGGGTACAAGACCCAAGACGTGGAGCCTGTGGCCTCCGGGACCGACACGTTACGTGGCGAGCTTTTCCGTTGGAGTAATTTCCGCGAGAGCTTGCGGCGCGGGTTCGCGCTGAGCAAGCTGTTTGCTGCGCAGGAGGGCCAGCTGCAGGAAAAGCAGCCAGCACGACATGTTCAAGAGCAGATGAGAGCGCCGAGACTAGACCAGAAGGCCAGCCTTGCTAGTTCCTGCAGAGCTGCACGTAAGTTCGCACTGCCACTGCCTTCGGTCACAGCGACTTCCTCCTTGCCCGCTAACGAAGCTTTGATCGGCGAAGAGGGGAGACTGAGGTTCGAGCAAGAACAGTTGTGGGCGCAGCACGTTTGCTTCTGGGCACGTCGACTGGTTTCCTATATACAGTGTTACCATCCGGATTCTGATTTTTTTCATTCGCAGGAGATGGATGGGTACAGAGATGCTCTTGCATTCTATGACGGGGTGGTCCTTGGCCCTCTTGCGACTCATGATGAAGCACATCACAGCGACAGCAAAATTAACATATGAAGCAAGAAATAGAAGTGACGACATATCAGAACGATTACGATTTTAGAAAGACAGCCAAGGGGGCACAAAACTTTGTTTCCGTTGTAATCATCTTTTGCGTTCGTCGCGACAAGCAAAAGGTGCTTTTTCGTGCTTTTTTCTTGTCAGAGATCACCCGGCACCGCTGGTGTTGCAGGAGATCTCGGTGTGGTTTCGAAATGGTGCAGCACCTCTTCCTCGCACCACCGTTGCGTTCTTGTTTGCGGTTGAGCGCTCTGACGAGATGTCTTCGGAGAGGAGCAGTTTTTGGTTCTGTGCTGACACCAGCAATTCAAGTTGACACAAAATACCACGGCAAATACTAGTACAACAACAGCAGCCACCACCGTGGATGCGATTTTTCGTCTTCATCTTCTCATTGAGCATCGCAGGAAATGTCCATACACAAAGAAATACAACTATGTATACTTTGTTGAAGCAAAGTGTATCGATGATGAAAACATAATCCGAGGACCCAGAGTCTGCATTCTCCAGGCGGCTACTTATTTATTTTCGTGGAGCAGTTGACGCAGATGTTCATCATAAATGAGTACAGTATCAATTTTGCGGCCGATCACGAACAGGGGGTCGTTTGATCTTAAAGTTCATCAACACAGGTCCGCACGTATATATTGATTTTATCGATCCAGGATGAAGTTGGATGTTGTGGATCCCACAGCAATGTGCTAAATCAAACGCAAAAAAACGATGATCGATCGCGGCTTATTTTCGTGTCGATTTGATCTCTCAGCGACGCTGAGTGGTGTTCGTGCGCACTAGCAGAATCAGTAGTAGTTGCGAACGATTTCGTCGCTTTCATCGATTTGGTATTGAACTTATTGGTTTTAACGCGTAATCTCATAAAGCTTCGTTGTAGAAGACGAAGATACATATGAACCGAGACGTGACTAGTATTAGTTAACCTGGTCTTTTGTACTATTGTTTTTTTTCATACTAAAGTACTGTCCACATTAAAGGAAAAAAATGCATCGGACGCGCAAGCCTCCTCCCGTGTCGCTTTTGGCGCAACCAAACCTAAGGCCGAGGGCCAAAGCTAATGCGCCACAGAGGGTAGCGCAGGCGGGTACGCTCCCTCCGGCACGCGAGAGGTCGCCACGACGGGAGATGAATCCCTTCGCCGATGACTATCCACTCGGCCGCGCGTCGAGCCACCCCGCATCAAATGCAGGAACGGCACCGTCCAATCCCTTCGTCTCTGGGGGCGAAGTGACCGGCGCTCCCGGAAGCAAGGCTGCAGCGATTCCGAAAACGTTGAGCAAGGCCGGTTCGATGTCCTCCGCAAAACCACCGGCGCCCACACGAGCTCCCGCGCCCTCCGCAGCTACCCTGTTTTCTTCGTCGATCAACCCGTAGCTATGTTTTTTTTCTATGTATAAACGTTCGTATTTTTTCAATCATTATGATCGAAGGAGCAGTGCCCAAATCTGTTTTACTATTTATCTTGCTTTGTAGCAGCCGCGTCTCCCTCGCGTGGGCTTTGTATGATTTTATTTTCGTCCAAGCCGTAACGTAGGCAAGATGCTGGCATGAGCAATCGTACATGATTTTTAAAACAGCGTATTGTGCAATCCGGTCCCTGCGGAGCGAAAACCCAAACCCGCAGTGGGTATGAACACCATGGCAAATCCGGCCTATTCGATGCAGTCGGAATTTCGGGAGCCACCGAGGAGGCCGGCACCGGTTGCAGCTTCGAACGCTATGCCCGAATTTATCGACCCCAACAATTGCGGTGTCGTCCAGGGGTCCAACCGGCCACCCCTGTACCCCCAGGCAGTTTGCTACCTGCACGGGAAAACGCGGTTCGAGCACCACATGATACAAGTCAAACCCGGAGTGTTTCGCTGTACCTATGGCCACGAATGCAAGGGGCAGGAAAACTACGGCCCTCCGCTTGAGAACGGCACTGCGTACATATCTCGCTATAGCATCTCCATATTCGCGTTGTGTTCGTATTTGCTCCTTCCTTGTAATCATCCGATCCTACTTCTAAGAAGTGTATCGACAGAACCAGTGCATCATTCAGCTACTTACTCAAGATTTACTTTGACCTACTAACTAGAATCAAAAGTTTGAGTCTTCAGGTTCAGGCGCCGAGCCTATGGACTTGAGGAGTGTGTCGCGTTGTATTTTCTTTTGTGCGCCAGGAAGGCATGCCACTCAAAATAGAAAATGAACGTAAAAGAGTCCGCCGCTCGTCTCTCTGTGAGGCGGGAGTGACAATTCGAGGCGGCACTTCTGCGAGAGATAGAGATATATCGTAATCGTAAACAAAATGAAATTCAAATACAGGATCTGCAGTGTCCATAAGAAGGAGCGAGCGTCAAACTTATTGGAGCCAGACGGATTGGGCGGCATGAAGTGCATGAAGGGCAAGGAGTGCAAGGGTTTCGGACCGGGGTTCGCGGAGCCTGTCCAGCCAGGCCAGATGCCTACAAACATGGCCACCTGTTTCGTGCACGGAAAGATACGAAAAAAGCAGTTTATGGAGTACCATCCTCCAGGCAAATACAAGTGCAAGCCCGATTTTCCCTGCAAGATGCCCGGACAGGGTCATTAACATTGACGATGAGCAGTACCGGGACCACAGCGACACAACTTCACCGCTTTTAAATGGTACGCGACATGAGGACATTCTCTCTTTTAGCCTATGGTACAAAACGGATTTGACCGCACGTCGCGAAGTTGATCAAAAATATTGGTCGCTGATTGCGCGGGTTCCACCAAGATGCTTGCGAGAGTGGACGCATTGCATTCTCTCCAAAGCGCGCTTGCAACTTTGCTTTAGGTTTGTAAAGTTCTTATGATCTATTACTTCGATGGATGGTCTGTCGAATTCGAAACTTGATCAGATCAGGAAAGCGATAGCGTATTACTTTTTCATTCGATCGAAAAACGCAAGTTTTTTTTCTGTGTGACACAAATACGTACTGTAAGATCACGCCAATTCGATCATCTCTGGTATGATAATAAGCCGCGATGTGGCAATAGTAGATCATCGAAGCCTTAGTTTTGCTCGCAGTATGCGATAGCGGCGTGTGTTGTCTGTGTGCGTTGCGCGTCATGGTAGGAAAAGAAATGCTTGAGCTTTTATGCAGGAAATAAAAAAACCGAAATCATGATGACGAACTAAAAAATCACAGGGGATTTCTACATTTGTAAGTACTTCGCCCACGTGGCACGTATAGTGCTGTTATTTCTCGATTTTATACATTATTGTACAATATACTACTTCCGTCGCATTGCATTGTGTGTTTGTTTCGCCTCTAGTCCGCCCCTAGAGCGTCATCATCTTTAGCTACAGTACCTAAAAGTAAAACTTCACTAAAATTTTTTCTGAAAAAATTTTTTTAGGGAGTCCGATGCAAACTACTTTTACTAGTTCTGAGGCCACCGTAGGAGGAGCTTCTTGCAGCTGACCATACATAATTGCATCTTCTTTTTTCGAAGAAGCCCGGACAGGTAGTTACTTGTTTACAGCTCGGGTGTTTTGAAGCAAAAAGCCTAAGATGACGAGGCATACTGGTGTGGTCGTGAAGTGGTTGAACCACAAGGGTATTGGTTTTATTACCCCCGACAGTGTGAAGGAGAACGAGAAGGGCGATGGCGATGCAGACTCCAACGCCAGCGATATTCTGGTGCACTTCCAGCATATTCAGCAGACTTCCGGGGACGGATTCAAGTCGCTGCAGAACGGGTCCCAAGTGGAGTATGACTTGGAAGACGACCCGAAGCACCCGGGCGAGAAGATGATCGCAATCAACGTGACCGGACCCGGCGGTGTCGACTGCACCCCGAAGCGGAAGGGCGGCCAAGGCGGAGGCGCCAGCAGCCCGGAAGGTAACAAGCCCAAGAACAACAACGGAAAGAAGGGAAAGGGCAAGGGCAAAAAGGGAAAGAAGGGCAAGGGCAAGGGAAAAGGTGGTTACGGCGCCAGCAGTAGCAACACCTACGAAGGCGAGGGGGAGCAGCAGGAGTACTTTCAACAAGGAGATGTTTCAATTTTATTTTTCGGCAGAGTACGTAGAAACAATAACAAAACATACTAGAAGTGAAGTTTTTACACTTAGACGAATAGAGCTACAACTAAAACGATGAAAATGCTGCGTGACTAGCTACAGCCGTTGTGGTCGAGAGTGTTGTGCCGAATCAATGAAAAACAAAAAACTACTCCTGCTCATCTACAGGTCTTGCTAGCTCTCCGCGAAGAAGATTTTTCTCTCATCAAGACGTACGTCTGGAAAAGTGAACAAGAAAACGGCATCAAGCGGATGACGTTGTTGTAAGTCACAACAAGCGGCAGTAGTTACCAGCTGCGTCTGTTGAAAATTAATATACAAATAAATTGGGCGACCGCGACGAAGTTTTTTTGCCGGCCAGCAAGTAGAGCAAGTAAGTAAGCAGTATGACTATCGGGGTATTGAGAATATTACCACGCGCACAACGAGGATTGAAGTACCGAGACGATGCGAAGAAAGGGGACCAAGTACTAGATTGTTCGTAAGAACGAAACAATATGAGGATGATACGGACCGTAACCAGCGGCGCTATCGCGGGGCCATGATTGTGTCATCCATCAAAAACATCACCAGCAGCATTCTCCGTCTTCATCATCAAGCACTTCTTTAAACATACGAGGAGGCGAGTAGAAGATCTCGATTGATACCATAAGTGAAAAATACTGACCCCCAAAAAATTAGCGGCCTCGTTCCGGTAAAGTCTGAGAATGGAGACCGGCTGAAGTGTAGCTTATCCGCTACATCATTTTGCGACCAGCTTTTCTCCGGTTTTTGAGTTTTAGCTTCGCGTCACTGGAGAATGATGGTAGTGTGCTTCGAAATTCTCAAACAACCACGACGTGCTGGCCGCTACTGCGCTATCTACCAAGGAGAGGGGGCGCGTATGTTTTCAAAAAAAAAAACACAAAAAATAGAAATCAGCTTTACTAGAGTTGCGCTTGCAAGTGGGTTTCTCTCTGTGCAAGTGCATTCCCATTCCTGCTATCCCGGCTCTATCATATTATTGCAGCATATTCTGTTAGAGAAAATCCAAAATGTTGTATCCTCACCCATCCCTGGAGCGATCTACATACATCGCGACCTAGTAACTACTGTATGAACTTCGGCGTAGGACAGCCTACTGATTGTGGTTGGACTGGTTGTGGATGGACAGTGGATTGGGTGGAAATAATTATTCTCAAGCGGAGAATCTGAACAGGATTTTCATTTTGCACTTGCTTTTTCGAACCAAAATAAACAGAAACATAAAACGACGACGCGAGCTTTGCTAGCACGGTCGGCGAATTTCGTTCATGCGTAATATAAGTAGCAAGCACCAAAGAAAAAGAATTTTTATTTTTCGCATTCTTGTAGTTTGTCTTTGTAGTTCTAGTTGTACTACCTGTTTGGCACAGTGCCTGTTCTATCGGAGTTCTATTTTTCCTCGCAGACGTCTCATCAAAGAAGCAGATAAGTCGTATACTGCCACCGACAGCAGCAGATAACAGAAGCATTTTTTTCTCAATAGGTGTAGTTATTCTTATTGTGCTCAAACCGAAGCACTTCTAGACACAAGCGGTGTCTACTGGCGAAAGCTGTCATGGGTTTTTAGTAAAAACGCTGCAGTCCTTGTCTGGCTCGCAGCCGATAAGCCTTATGATCTGTTTGCAAGGAGTGAAAATACAATGAATTCTGCTCTACATCGCCGAGTTCTGACGATGTTGTTGAGCAAATAAGTGGCACAGTAGGTGGGAGCGATTCACCTTGATATCGCGTGAAGTATGGTTTGTATTTGCTCTTACCTCAGGAGTTGCTTCGAGCCATAGACATATTATAGGCATTGAAAGCTGTTGCAGCACAGCAATATGAGCCAGAAAAAAAAGAAAAACGCGCAAGTCACACTTAGCTTCCGAATGGTAGCCATTTTAGTTCACAGAAAAGTTTGCAACATTATTTCAACAAGATGACAAGCGGTCTCTAGTACTCCCACGTGCGATGTTGAGTCGACAAGCGGTCACTCCGCACGCTCAACGATGTACATGTTGCAAAAAGGACCGCCGCTCGATGAAGAAACATAGTGATAGTGCTATTTCAATCGCGCGTAGGGGTGCATTTATTCATCGAGAATACAAAGATTTGTTGTGCTGTATTTTACAGGCGTAGAACAAAATAAGAAGACGCAACAAATGTTAACCTGCAGACAAAAAACGACAAACAAAAGCGAAAGCGGTAGCAATACACTATGTGACATAAGGAGGCCTATATATAAGACTTCCCTCTCCTGGAGGGATCTTACACAGCGATATGAGATAGGACCGACATGAAGCAAGCGGCTTTGGATCTGGGTTTCATTTCATTCCCCCCAGAGTCGTCCAAATTCACCTCGATTCAGCAGAAATAGAGGAGTTTTTTCTGGACAACCTACTAACTAAATAAAACGAACATAAAGAGATTCTGAATCTGAAGGGAAAGAAATGCGACGGTTTTATGTTCGCCCCACGGCCACGTCAAAAGAAGACTGTTTTTGAAGATTGCGCCCCTGGTTCTGTCATTTTTCTGCAGCAGCGTCTGTGGTGTGTACTTTCACCAAATGAAGATCAAGGCAAACAGCAAGCTGGACCTGCGTAGTGTGCAGTAATTCGCGATCTTCGAACAAAAGAAGCCTGTCGCAGTACTTACAGCCAAGCTAGTACTTATCTGTGAGCATGTCGGAACAAGAATGAATTAGAATTTTCTCTCAGTGTCAATATTTTTCGCCATTTGCATTATTTTAAAGGCAGCGCAAAAATATTCGACCTTTGGGTTTGGTTTTGGCTCGCAACATTCGCCGAAAGCCACACACAGACACACCATTGTTGTAGCAGAACTGGGACCTAAGACCACTAAGCGCGAGGAGACATTATAATGCGAGGGGTACTGATGCAGCCCATCGGGTTTCTTCGTCCGGTGGTGCGTTCTTTCGGAATGTTTCTGCATCCCTGTAGTGTTGCGGGACTTGCGTTGAATCTACGATCAGACCCAGTGGCCAGGCCGTCCGACTTTGTGCCAAGACCTCGGCCGAGGTCACTAGAGGACGAGTATGGCAATGGCTATGAGAAGGTCGAAAGTAATGCGCCTCGATCCCAGAACCAGTACCGGATGAAAGTCGGGCGCTTCACGATTACTCCGGCTGAGGAAGACGAGGATAGCATGCGCGACGATCTTCCAGCGACTGTGCGAGCGCTAAGTAGAACGCGGACCGCTAGCGGCGGCAACATCGTGGAATTGCTGCACAAAAGGCCGCCCTCCGGCAGCACCACAAAGAGCTCGTGCTCGTCGTACAGTCCTGGTAGTTCGTCTAGCTCGTGGTCCCCGTCAGAAGTGCCCCGACCTTTGCTGTCAACTAGCGGCGCAGGGGTGAGTAACATGGTAAGTAGCAAGAACCAGGCACTCCGTTGCGCTGCTGGAGAGCTGCAACCATCTGCGGTAGAAGCAAAGGTTTGGGTTTGGCAAGATGTCGGCGCAGCTGCACGGGAACACGATTTTGGCCCACGGCGCCTTGTTTTCCTAGCAAGCTTCTTGGACGATGAGAGTAAACAGCAGGAGTTTTGTTCCACCTCTGAAATCAACGACGAGGACCGTCGAGACCGATGCGTAGGGCTAGTCGTATCCCCAAATAAAAAAACGAAAAAGACCACAGGGACCACAGCCAGAGGTCTAGGGGTTTTTCGCCCCAGTGCGCTGCAGTCTCCTAAGTATTACGGTCTCCATTGCGAGGACCCAGGGATTTTCAGTATTCCCGAAGAGCAGTCGCCGGACTGTATCACGCAGACGCCAGCAAGCAGTTCAGGCTGCTACACGGACGTGCCGTCGGCTTCCTCAGACTGGGAGACAGACGAAGCAGCAATGGTGATGAAGACAGCTCCGGCGGCCGACGGAGGCACGGCAGGTGAAACTAGCATTCTCATTGGTGTGAATAAGGAGCCCCCACCAGCACCAGAGGAGCGCATTCACGGAGGCCCGTCGAGGACTAGAATTGAAAAACCTGGCTTTTTTTTTCCCGCCATTGTCGACGAGTTCATTCCTGAGGGTATTTCCAGAGAAGTCCAGCAGGAATTCTATGCGCGACAGGAACTTGGGGGGCAACTTGGGACGGTCGTTCGAGATATGGTCCACATTCAATCTGGAGGTCAGTACGTAGTAAAATATATCGCGAATGTTTGAAACTCTGTGGTTCAAATAAAGTAGATTCATCATGAGGAAAGAATGCCAGCGCGGAGCCGTGGACGACATTTCACAGTTTTGTTTTCTCATTTCAAAAGACACTCACTCACACGACGTCAGTTCACCTGTTAACGTGTGCACACATATGAAATTATTTCAAGGTTTGGATACTTGTACGCGGTTCGGCGCACCTACAGTGTCTTTTCGGGCCTGCGTGGCACGCTCTTGTCGTGCACGGCTAGCGGAACGAGCGAGAGAAATTCCTTCTCTCAATGCAGTTCCAGCGTCGCGTGTGTGGCTCCCGGCTTCGGAGCAATTGTTGTCCGATGTTCTCACGCTTGTGTGTGCCAGAAGAAAACAAGTTTCGCTGCGAACGCAAACTACATGCTCCCGAGGGCTAGCGGGCCAAGCAGGTGATGCGGAAAACGAAAAAGATGCAACAGCAGAGGAACGACTTTTGCAGCTCCACCCAGACAACCGCCGTACAAGCGCCTGCAGCGCCAATCACGAGGGGCACCCGAAGAATTCCCGGAGCGCAATGCTGCGAAACAAAAGCGGAGAAAGTGACACCTCCTGGCATCGAACCTCACTCCTGACGTCGACTTTGGCAGACGCAGACTGCACGATTTTACTGAAAGATGATAAAAAGAAATCTGGCGCTCCGGCTGTTTCCCTTACAGAGCAATACGACACCGCTGTGCGCTGGGATGCCGTGGGAAATATACTGCATTTCTACCTTGTCCAATCCGATGCGTTTCCTGCAGCGTTGCGCGGTTTGTCGAACGAGGGAGCCCTGCGGTTGAACTTGATCACTGGCGCCGTTGACGTATTCCCAGAATTAATAGCGCGAGGAGCATTCTAAAGTTATCAAAAAAAGAGAAGAGTTATCGATTTGAATGCACATGTCGCGGTACTTACGTTTGTAAGTTGTGTTTTGTTTCGAATTTAAAACCTATCAGAACTCACTTGAATTTTTGACACTGCTTTGAAGCTTTAGTGCCGTCTGAGGCACTGCAGTTTTTTGCGTCGCACGGTGGAAAAAAAATGTTTTTTTCTGGTGCTGCGAAAGAGGGGCAGGTGTAGAGCAACTGCCGAGCCTTAGCGTAAACAAAATTCGTTCTTGTCATGTAATATTTCGCGAAACAGATGATGATGAAAACGAAAATTTTCCACGACAGCGCCCACCTGTCATGTACCCCAATACCCGAGATGACAGGCGGCGAAAACATGATGACAGTTTTCATGTATTTTGAGAATAAAGATGAAGATGATTGATCACATACCTGGGGACCAACAGTAAATGCGTACGTGTACAGGTTTTTTGTGCAGGTGCGCAAGTGAAATTATAAGTTGCTATCTGTCTGCTGCCCTCCGGATCGCTCGTGTAGATTCTTTTCTGCGATACTAATGAATGCAACACATTTTTGATTTTGATATTGGAAACGAACGAGCAGAGCTACACATATGAAATGTTTTGGTAAAGGTAACTTCATGATGATTGCCGAGGGAATCTCTTGTCGAATTTGATATTTCATGTCGAGTGACAAACACCTGCGGTGCACCGGCGAGGAGCTGCGTACATTTGCGAACAAAACGATTTCATCCCTGAGGCGCAAGCCTACATGTCGCAGCGACAGAGCCTGCCATTCGTGTTCGGTTTATGCTCACGCCGACCCAGACTTCGAAGATCAATAACGATCCACCGCAAGAAGGTCATTATTAAGCAGTCTGCTTTTTGTCTTTCACGGAAACACGAGTGGTACGCAACCGCAACCGCAAAAGCGATGCGGTACTTTATTAAAGTAGCGCTTTTCTACACATGGATGCCGACAGAGAACATCATTACAGAGGCAGGTCTTCTCGGTTTAGTGCTCAGATGCAAGAGTAAGGATGTATGATAACCAACGACAGGCAGAACCTCTTCTGCCGCGTCTTTCCAAATCCAACAGCTACCTACTCAGGCTATAATGAGACTCCAGGGGTGTCGAACAATAGGAGTCGGTAAGGGACAGTCTAACGCTGAGAGTCGAGCAGATGTAAATCATCAGAATAATCAAGCCGTGCATGTTTTTGCTGTTCGCGCTGCCCTTCGTTCAGTTTATAATTTTGTCGGGATGACTTTCTTCACATCTTATGCGTCATGTTCTTCGTCTGGGTCTGCAGCCCAGCAGAGCGACAGTGATAGCGCCACACGGCCAATGAAGCAGGTAGCGCTTTTCGGCGGAAGAACGGAGATTCGAATGAGCGAGCAATCCGTGTGGCGCTGTTTGTACGGTGCGAGCTTCGGCCTTGTCGTCCTGAACGCGGTAAAGCTACCACTGCTCCTGCCGAAATTGTCCGCCCGCCACCGCGGCGCGCCTTATTTGCCTACTTCCCGGAAGGCCCTGGACACGCTATTCAATCGTCTGCTTCCACCGCCGCAGCGTGGACCGCCAGGGAGCACAGAAGGAGCAAAATTTAATCGTGTCAGAATGCGCCTATTGGATCTGGGCTCCGGTGACGGACGTATTGTTATCGCCGCAGCGCGGCATGGATACCACGCGACTGGGTATGAGCTCAATCCCTGGCTTTACGCCTGGTCTCAGCTCCAGCGCATCCGCACATTCGCCCGCAGCGCGGAAGAGCGCCGCAATTGCAGGTTTATCCTGGGCAATATCTGGAACGTCGTCGGTTGCAGCAGTACTGCGCGGCAGTCGCAGCGGGAGGGCACAGCAAGAGGAACTACCGGTCGGCTGCAGCCAGAGGACTCCAAAAATCTTGACAGATTCGATGTGGTAACGGTGTATGGCCGCCCAGGGGACCAGGTGATGGAACGCGTGTCGGATCTGGTGCAAAACCACTTAAGGCCCAAATACCTCGTGTCCAACCAATTTTCGGTCCCTGGCCTAGAGAGCAAGTTAGTAAAGGACTTGGACGGTCTTAAGCTGTACAAGCTGGACGACTGACGTAGACAGAGTTTTATTATCATAGATCGTTGTCGTTTTCTATCTCTAGTTGTAATTTATTATACCAATTGTAGTAGAACTAGTGTGACGCTGGCGGAGGCTTCCCAAGACGTGTTGAGTATTTGCAGGAAAAGCAACCGGTGTTCATTTCGATTCGACCTCGACGGTTTCCGAAATATATAATAATCCAATTCGATCACGAGTGTTGGAGTCGAGAGGCGTGCATGTGCAATTTGTGAGTAAACAGCTGGGAAACGGGGATCGTGGGAGTGTTAAAAAGCAGGCGAAATAGACAAGTAAGAAAGAAACTTGGTGACTCGCATATTTTCATCTCTCTCGCTACAGGCCGATCGCCATCGTCGTCATACCGTAAACTCGTGGTGGGGGTTTCTGTCTTAAATAAGACATTGCCCGCACTAACTCTCCTACACACACGACCAAAGAACACGTCTTGGTATCGCCAGAAGTAGGAGGCTTTCGGCGATTATGCCCGCTGGTTGACGAGTATTTTTTTAAGCATCACATCGAATCGGGTTCCTCTTCGATCGTGTCGGCGCTTTGATGGGTCCCTGGGTTTCGAAGCACACTTGATCATCCTAGATGCGGCATCGTCAAGCATGAGCCGTCGCGCTTTTCTGCTCGTTGGTGCTTGGTTGTCCTCCGTGTGCTCTACGTCGGCCTCACACGATGACGTAGCGGCATCTGGAGGGATCATCGAAGCGGTGGATGACCATTCTGGTGCTGTTGATCGACAGAGGTTCTTGCGGAACGAACACAGCGACCGGTCCCCATCGGTTTCCGTGGCACAAGAAGAAGAAATCGCTGACGTCACTCCGAATACCACTGTCCTCGGTGGAATTCCAAGAACCGATGATTATTTGCCTACCAATGCATCATCCTCATCATCCGCCACAGCTCGGCGTTTCAGGCCCCACCGAGGACCCACGGCGACCACAATACAGGCGGGCTCTTCCTCGACCAGCTCAGCAGCGGTTCCCGGTTCAGGACTTGTCCAAGGGCGACGAGCAGTCATCACGGCTTCGTCATCTATGATACGTTCGTCAGAGCTGGAGTCCGAGTGGGTGGACAACTATGAGGACCACCTGGTGGTATCTTCGAAAGGGGACCAGCAGAATGTCACAGTCGCCAGTAAGCCTAGCAGGGCTGCTACCGATGTTCTTCGCGGTTCTGCTCTTCTGCAGTTCTTGAACGCCACCAACTGCACCGACAACGCCACAAACTGCACGAACGAAACTGCAGCCGCTCCGGCGAAGAAGACCACCGCAACGGAGGAGGAGACGCCCGGGCTCTTTCCGGAGTGGATGTCCTTCGGCAGCGCACTCGATCTCGCCAAGTTTGTCGCCACGAATGGCATGATCATTGGGCTGCTCTGTGCCGTGATTTACTTCGTGCAGACGCAGCGAGACTCTATTGTGTATGAAGACGACGTCTACGACAGTCGCGCGGGTGCGACGCAGGAGGAGATCGAAGAAAAAAGACTGGAGCGGAAGCTCCGGAAGCGAAAAGAAAAGGACGACGAAAAGATTCAGGAGGAAGTGATCGAAGAGGCGTTGCAGTGACAACCTGGCGGTGATATTATTACGTGCAGCTCAGGGTTCGTTTCGTAACGCGGTCTGATTTTTGAACTTGCTGCAGTTTCTCAGCGGCTCTTCTGGTGGAGCATAAGCGAGTCCACCGTGCGACCGTGTCTTGGTCAGTGGAGGCATAGCTTTGTGTTCGACGTAGATCATCTACTGCGTTCTGTAATCAGAGTGCGCGACGAAGACTATGATCTACTGCGCCAGCATTCTCCTGGCGAGGTGCAGAGTGATAGTGTCTTTGTCGTGTGCTCATCGTATATCGAACCGAAAGTAAGCCGAAACGGTAGCGCAAGCGAACAAAATAAGAACTATGGGTCGTATTCATCGGGGGTAAAAAGATCGCCGGCCGCGGCAACGTCATGCGGCACAAGGCGGGCCCGGGATCGTGCGGGCAGGGAGGAGTCTGGAAGTGCATCTTCGTATCACCGTTGTTGACTTCGGTACTTGTTAATTTCCGAGAGGCGCATGGGGTGCAGTTGCGAACGAAGCCGCCGCGCGAGTACGACTACGGCACGTACGACCATGATTTAGAGGTGTCCCCGGGGGCTGCGTCTTCCCTTGCCATTGGCTTCTTTCGAGACGCTGTTTGGAGTCGTTACGAGGGCGTTGCAAGTGACAGCGGGCCGACCGCTGCCGCGCAGCTACTACACCGCGAAAATGTGATGTTGCATGAAGGTGCTGATCCCCAGTTACCCAGTAGTGAGAACAAGTTGGATCCACCCCTCGATGCGACGTCATCCTTTTTGGCGGTGTTTTATTCCCACACCTGTCCCGATTGTCGGAATTTTCGCCCAGTCTGGAATCGTCTACGCGGGGAAGTGCCGCAAAATCTCACTCTCGTTGCAGTGGAGGACCCCGAGTACGCCGCACCGGGTCCCTTTCGGCACTTCGAGATACCCGCAGTATTTCGTGTCGAAGTCGCAAAAAGTCGAGTACTAGCAGCGGACACGCCAACAACTACTATCGGCGCAGGAAACTTCGACGGGACCACGACTCGATCGCGGGCTGAAGATCGTCACTCGCTGAAGGTCAAGGTCACAAAGTTTCCAATGGCTGCCTTGGGGGACTTTCTGGAACACAAAAAATCGGCTGACCGGATGCTTGCGGAGCTGGTGGGATTTGTTTCGCCCTCTGTGACCGCGTACGGCCTGTCTAAACGCAACGACGGCCGCCGCGGAAAGGAAACGAAGGGTACTGATGGTGATGCGGGCACACTGCTTGCGGTTTTGGCGGCGCACCCTGGGCAGGAGCTCGGCGTTTTGCACTCTCCTGACTTTCGAGATACTGCGCTGGCTATTAGAGGGAAAGATGCCCTGCCTCCGGAGGTGTGTTTCACGCAAAAAGAAGTTTTTAACGACGAACAAAAACTTTTACGTTTATGTTGCATGAAAGGAGAAATGCCTCCCTCTTTTACACGACGAGTGTATGCCGCTCTTGCTGGGAGATTCTGCATGTACAGATATGCGCTATTGCGCATTGCAAGCGTGTGCTGCTGATGCGCTGGGTAGAACGCATTGAAACCGCGTACTGCTGACGCATGGATAAATCATGTTTAATTCTGTTTTTCCGGTTGGGGCTTGCTATTGCTTCGGTTGAATGGCCTGGCCGCGTTCTGTGGTGGGGGCAATTTTCACTTTGGTACTCGCACAGTATCTCCTGTCGCTAAATTTGGCGACGTACTTCCAAAACGAAACAAACACTAGTCCGAAAGCGGCTAACCAAAAAATTCTCCAACTCGCCGCTGGGTTTCTGGATCGCCACCAGCTCGCTTGGCAGGGAGGTGGAAGTACCGAAATCTCATCTGTCGACATTTCACAACCACCTACGGATCATCCGAATAAATAAAATGAATACATTGACATTGAGCAAATTAGTTTTTTCCATGTGGGTGTATACTTAATCGATCGATTGTTTGATGATGTGAGGACGAATCCTTTACATTGATGAGAACCTGTGTGAACGCGTCGCCACTGTCTGTTCTGCAGGACCGTCAAGAAGGGTGGATGCACTAGTAGGTATCGAGACACTTGTTGTCCACTGGCATGACGCATCGCAATTACTGTCGTGGCGTAGACGAGGCAAGCGCGACTGTGGTACAGATCGATACCCGCTTCTCCTTGGATTACCCAAATCGTCATCTTCGTTATCGGGTTTTTAATCGACATCAAAAAGTGAAAAGGTCGTCGTCGTCCGCCTTTAGCTACAACTGTGCCTCGTTAACTAAGGCATTTCCATTTGTATCGCTCGTTTTGTGCATTCGAAGAATCGATTGTTTGCAAGAACGAGTTGTCTTCGTCGATATCTTGATCTTTGTCCTCTTATCGAACTTAGAAGAGCATGCGGTCGTGTTTGGCTAAACACGAGCGTATGCTCGAAAAAATACGGACAAAAGTGCGACTAGTACGGGAGCACGCACGGTGCCATTTTTTTGAGTGTTCAATTCGCATCGAGGCGTGTAAGAGGTCGTTTTTCGTTGTGAGTGCTCGACAAACGAGCGTCTTTTTAGGGAATGGTAGGAAAGTACGAAGGTGCAGCCACGGATGCGCTGTAGATTCAGGCAGCTAAAAGCCGCATCACATGCAGGCCTTAGGAGAGTACGAAGGTGCAGCCACGGTTGCGCTGTAGATTCAGGCAGCTAAAAGCCGCATCACATCCACATGCAGGCCTCAGGGCGCTGGAAGTAGAAAGTAGGCGTTGGCGGGAAAAAATAGTCAGGGGGCCCGATTACGTAGAGCGAGGTGTCGTCGTGCTTCACTAGACCAGGAGTGAGTCGATGTTTGCAACATTCCATGCTGGCATCCGTCCCGCTTTATTCTTAGTAGATCGACATCGACGTCGTGCTATACAGTGGTGAGCCTTAGAAAAGTTCAATATCCGCGTTCTTGGTAATACATCTTCAATTTCGACGTGCGTTTTGACGGTCAGCAAGTGCAAGGGTCCTTTCTTTGTTTTTTGCTACTGCCGGGACCGCGACGGCACGTAGAAGATGATGCCTCAGGACTTTTTAACGAGAGCACGCTGAGCTGGAGCAAGTTGGGGTGAGGCCTACTAACTTCCAGCAGAGATGCCGCTCACGCGGAAAGACCGGACGCACCACACCGGTGCGTCGAACCGGGAGACGCACTGGAAGCCGATCAAGGGCGTGCCCACCGACTTCGATGGGACGATGCGAAGTACGCTCCCGCGGGAGTACAAGTACCATCTGAGCCGAAACGCGCCGCTCATGCAGCTGTCCGGGGAAGCGAACACGGATTTCGAACAGACGCTGGCGGGGGCGGGCTACCGCAAGGGCGAGACCCTGACCGACACCCAAACAGAGCTGTTCAACCAGACCCGGGACCTGAAGCTGTCCGCTAATCTAGCCACGCGGCAAAGAGTACTGGAGGACAGTTTCAAGCCACAGGCGTCGGCGGGCGGCGAGAACGCCGACGCACTGGATTCGTCGCAGAAAATGCCGGACGTGCTGCCGTCTTTCCTCAGCTGCCGCGAGAAGCAAAAGCTGCCGCTTGGCAGCGAGCTACTCCCCAGCTCTCCATCCAAGATTTCAGCTCCGAAAATCGAGTCCATGAAGGCAGTTGCCCCGAAATTGCCTCACGACAAAGCACAAAAGCTGCTACCGGCACTGCAGGTAAATTCTTTGTTGGCATGAAAAATTAATATATCTTCTATTAATTCATACATTCACCTGCCAATGCCACTCTTTTTTTAGATTTCACTGAGCTTTTTTGGCTTTTCTTTGTCTTTTTGCCGGAGTGACAGATGATTCGTCGTGTCTGGTTGTGTAGGCAAGAAAGTGAACTTGAGTGTTGTAATTTGTCAAAGAAATAGGATCGATTCAACATCAACTCGATAAACAGAAAAAAGCTACCATGCGTAAGTCTTCAATACAAAGTACACCTAAACGCTGCCTCAGGTTGGGCATCATGTCTTGCCAGGGACTGTGCAGAGTTTGCCGCGATGGAACGCGCGCAGTTGGTGGGAGCCTCTGGCTTTAGAGATGCAGCCGAAAATCAAAGACTACGAAGCTTCCTGTGTTTGGAATGACATGGACTCCCACTACCTAAAACGCAGGAAAGGTCAGGACTACCTGTTTCGGGCCACGCGAACACAAGCGGAGGCCGATGCAGAGAACGAAGAGGCAGCGAAGCGAGACCTCAACCGGTTGGAAGAATACTACCCGAGGCGTATCCGGAGTAAAAATGTACCCACCTCCAGAGTTGTCATGCATAATTTGCATTAGCATTGCCAGAACATGAACATGTCTCATGCGGTTCCCCATGAGAGGTATTTTCGAGTCGTATTTTGAAATTTGTCATGCGCCAATCAGCACAAGAGACAACCATGCGGAGCGGGTACTACTAGCTCAACACGACTACAACAATGTGGAGCAGAATTAGGCATGCGTGATTCCCAGAAGTTGTTCACTTGTGTAGCAGAAATTGCAAATCTTGACCACCACTATGGGTTGGTGCGTTTTTACACAGGAGAAGGCGCGAGTTGGTGGACTCCGTGAAGCGGCTGGAGCCCGGAAACGACACGCAGGTGCGACCGGTTTATCTGCCCGATTTCGCTTACCTGCTCCCTGGCCGTACCAACGCCGAAATGAAAGCCCGCGTCGAGCGTCTCCGCGGTGTGCTCAGACAAAAGTAATTCTTGACGACTTCTTTGCGCGTGTCGATGTCGTTCACGATATGATGCGGTTGATGATGCGATCGCGTTTCCTTTTACAAAGAAGTACGAAAGAGAAGAAAAGACACAACGAACTGTCACACTACAGTGAACACACACGACAAGAATGAATTTGATTTTTTTTTCGTCTCAGATACGGTGGTCGACCAGGACTGAACAAGGTCTTTCGAGCGTTTGCCAACGTGAAGCCGGGGTTCCTCCTGCCAAAAGACTTCCACAACGTTCTGGACAGCATGGGCATAAAAACAGAGATGCGCGAATGCGAACTACTCATCCAAGCCGTGGATCGCACGGAGAAAGGAGCCATCACATTTTATCGTAAGGTAAAATCCCCCCTCCCCATATTGAAAAGGTATGTTTTCGAAAATTTGCGTAGCTGATTTGAGGTCACAAATCACATCTGTGTTGCAAGAAGAGAACGGCAGAAGCTTCCGCCCCATTATGGAAGCGGTTTGTCATGCTGTTGAGCCAACATCAAGGACGCTTCTCATGCTAAGCGCCTAACTCAAAGCATCTCTGCTCAGGCTTGATATGGGTCTGCAGTCCTCTCTAGCAAGACAGATTTGATTTGTGTACTCAAATACAGCAACACACATTCCGCTTTCGATATGGGGAAGGGGGATTTTTCCTCACAATACATTTGAAGAGTTTGCAGATCTGGTAAGCTTATAATAATAACTATTCAGAAATGAGTCATGGGTGGCCTATATATATAATCTATAGGGGGCCTCTTAGAAAATTTTTCTAAGAGAAATTGCTTAGGCGGTACCACTTAAGAGAGCTCCTTAAGAGAGCTCCTTAAGGGAGCGCCTTAAGAAGCTTCCTCAAGGAGCTTCCTGCAGGACGGAGATAGCTTGCTTCAGGAAACAGCTCGAGCCGTGCCCGTTCTCGCTGTCGCTGCGAAAATGTGACTGGCAGCAGCTAGCGGCCATCGCTTTATTTTGGCGAGCGAAAAAAGTGCGACGCTACGCTTTCACTGACTCGGGCAAAATGATGACCAGAGGTGAGGGGCGAGCGTGAGGCGACGAGTGGCGTGAGGGCATGAGATTT